GTTTGCTGATCGTAACGTCGTTTTTATTTGCGTCATAGAGCGAATTTGTCAGGATAAAAAGTTATGGATAAAAAGTTATGGATATTACGACTCTCGCAGAGAGACTCAAGACGATAGAAATAAACATAATGCTTCAGCTACGGATATTTATATTTTGTCTCACGTTTACGAAATTAACTCGCACGTACGTTTGAATAGCCAAAATCGAAGATCAAGATAACGAAACGACGCGGAGATAAGAGCAGCAATAATGAAATTTGAATGTTGCTGTGTAACGTTTTCCGCTTTCGGTCGTATGGAAAATATTGGTTAAGAACCTTTCCCTCTCGCAGTGAGGATCAGGTACAATGGAATACAATGGAAGAGATCAAGTATTTTCTATTCTGAAAGTTGCAGACGTCAACGAGACCGATTAACTTGCGATAAAGATCTCATCTCCCACGTGGTCTATTAAACTTGACAGACAAATACTTAATCACACGTAATTAATTGTATCTTTCATTCCTGTGAAAAAGAAGCTGTTTCTGCATGTATGATTGAAAAGTAAGATGGAGAAAAATGTCCAATTCTTATCGATAGGTATATTGTTCGACGAACAGCGATGAAAATCGTTGACTAAAAAAAATTATGATAAGATGTTCAATACTTGCGTGCATTCGGTATGTTCGATATCAGATATTGATCGTAAAATACTGCATAACGTCATAGACATTACTTATTTATTGATTAGCGTTTTCCAGTGGGGTGACATTCGTTTGAACTTAGAGTTCAATCATATCCTATCAAACGAGTCATTTAACGTACGCCGAGCGTTTCATACGCCCATTGCCAGCGTTTATTAGGAAATAGGTCCTCATTAGATAATTGTATCGTTACATTATATAATATGCAATTAGATGTCTAAAAGGTTGGAGGAAGTAGAAACAGTTTCTCAGACGGTATATAGAAAATATTGAAGTTGGTCTAACATGAGTCGAGCTACAAATTCTAGTCTACGCATTAATTATCCTCCGAGTTTAAGTCCGTTGTAAATCTACTTTCGAGAAAATGAGTTTTCGTATCACGGAGACGCTTGCATTCTTCAATTGTTACGATGCTCGTTGTTCCGGCGTAGATATCTGACGTCAATTGCACGCTCGTCACAGAAATACATACACAGATAATTGCATGTAAAACAATAAAAATACAGACATGTGTTCAACATAATCGAAATGAAATATCTCGAACGTTCGATCATTATCTGCTTGTTCTTCGATCGTTATCGTTATTAATCACTTTCAGGATTACCCAACGAGCTGAGTCTCTTTTGGCAACAATACCCATGGGCCCTAGGAGTTGGTCTTTGCAAAATCAGAGCATACGTATCGGAAGTGTAAGCGATCTATGTTCTCCAGCCGATGACTGGAACAACTGTGTCGTTTGAATTTCTTTCTGAAATGTTTCCTTTTGCCTGGCACAGATCTTCTTACGTATCAGTCCTTACGATAGTAGCCTTCTCTATGGAAAGATATTTGGCGATTTGTCATCCGCTTCGCGTTTATACGATCAGTGGCTTGAAAAGACCGATACGCTTCATTTTGGCTGCATGGTCGATTGCGTTGGTTTCCGCCATACCGTTTGCAATCTACACGAAAGTCAACTTGGTCGAGTATCCGCCAGGTTAATTAAAAAGTCCTATTGTTCACTGATTTCACTCGCACATGTCCGAGAAATAACAGAAACGTACGATTATTCAGGTTCCGGGAATTATTCGGCCAATTCCGCGATTTGCGGCATGTTACTGCCCTATATGCCAAGTTTCCCTCTGTACGAGTTGAGCAGCATCATATTTTTCTCGATACCGATGCTAGTTATCTTGGTGGTGTATACCAGGATGGGCGCGAGAATCAGGAACAGTACAAATGACGCTATAAACTCGGTGGTGCAGGGCGCCATTCACGGTGACTCGAGGCAAATCCAGTCTCGAAAGTCCGTGATCAGAATGTTAAGTAGGATATATTTTCACCCTCGACCAGTTTTACCATTATTTCTTTACGAGACATGTAACCTATATAGTTGTTGCTGTCTTTTAGCTGCGGTTGTTATCTTATTCTTCGTTTGTTGGGCACCGTTCCACGCTCAGCGACTACTTTACATTTACGCGCAAGAATCTGACTATTATCCAGACTTGAACGAATGCCTGTACATATTAAGCGGATGTCTCTATTACTTCAGCACAACCGTCAATCCGATTTTATACAACTTAATGAGCATGAAGTATAGAAAAGCGTTTAAACAAACGATCTGCTGCAAAACGAGGATGACAGGCAGAAGGAGTTGGGTGACCGGCGAGTCTCAAGTGCGTAATAATTCAAGCTCGAGCGGGAAAGCGCGGAACTCAAACTTCAAGTGTTCAGTGAGGTAGTATTATTAACATAGTTCTGCAAACAGTTAGCCAAAGTGACGAAGTCCTTTTGTACTGCAGCGTCACGTTTTTTTAATTATCGCTGACATTTCTGTTTAGGTACACTATCAGTCAGGCGAAAGAGATGTTTCGATTCACTACGAGTCGAGAAACTGTGAGCAGAGATGGGAACACGAACGATAATGTCGTTCGTAAATCATACATGCTGAAAAAGGAAGATTCCACGTCGAAGCCGCTTCTCAATCGAACGCACTCAGCTATTCAGGAGGAAAGGAATAACAAGGATTCTGTATGTAACACGAACGAGGAGAAATCTGGCTCTACAACTAGTAGCTTCTTGTAATTTGAGTTGTACATTGTTAGGTGTTGAAAGTTATTGTACATAATAGTTTTAAGGTCGCTGTATAATTATTTATTTTTTGACCGTATTGTATGTGTCTGTAACTAATTTTTATTCGATTGTACTTAAAGATTATGTATAATATATACTTAATAAATTTAGTGAAAAATTATAAAAACCGTAATGTAAATACATTGGTAAATGACATTTGTTCTATAGTAACAGCTTTTAAAAGGCGGGTAAGAAATTTTTTTAGTTTGACAGCAAACGATAGCAAAGAACGGTTTCCTATGTCAAAGAATGTTGATCCCTTATCAAAGTTTGGGTCGCTGGGCCTATTTAAAAAACTGTTTTAAATTTTCTAAAGTTATTAACAATGCAAGACTACTCA